ATTAAAATTATTATTTAATTTAAATTTAATTTAATTTAATTTAATTTTCGTTTATTTTCACTGTTGTATCGTAAACGTCCTCTGCCGAAATCGGGATATCTTTGCATAAAGGAAAGTAATATTTCTTTTTATTCTCGATTATGTTCATTTTTGTCACAGGTCGCAATAATTGTTTGCAAAAAATTTTTTAATATACACCTTTTTACATATCTCTGTCAATCTCTGTGAAGATAAAGAGGTTATATTTCTTATTCACATCTCAATTTATATTGATTCATATGCGCAATATATTTCACGTTTAGCTTCCGTGAGCATAGGGATATCGTATTTTCACTACGATCATAGCCAATCGCGCCTATTTTTTCATGTGACATGAAAGTACGAGAAGTGAGCGTACACGTTTAAAAACTACACTAAATATACATTTTTCAAACGTTTTTAATGTTTTTCACATATTAATAATTATGCACATTAATGTGTATAATTCATAACATATAAAGCATAATATTATTTAGGTATATACTTTATCTATATAACTTTTGAAATGTATTGTTTGGGATATATCGAATGGACCTTGTGTATCCCGTAATCGTCTTCTAATTAAATTTAAATCTCTTTTGCAAATATTATTGTCATTTTCGTTTTCCTGTATGCAAAGAAGCATAAAAATGTCCATTGTCTTAAATAAGACAAATTTCGTTCGAACAATTTCGACTGATTTCGACACACGGTAAATATAAAGAAGAACCCGCTCCTCTTAAATTTTGATAAAAATATACTCAATCGATGCGTTTTTGCATGAAACGAAAGAATCTGGCAGAAAAAAGTGTCGCTCTGTCCTACGAACCGAGATATTAAGCGTTAAAGTTGACGACTATTCAGGTTAAGCACACTTTGGCATAATTCGACAAGAAATTTCTTGCCGAACAATCTCGCGTGAAAAATATCGCATTCTCACTATGATGAAAATTAGTCAATCAAGTGAGAGCTCACTTTTATGATTTTCACTAGGTTTTAAGATACACAATCACCCCCCAGGTACTATATTCGTATCAAATTCGTACTATAAACATTTAGTACGCATGATGTAAACGCTGTCGGATTATTTCGGTACGAGCGTATCAAGCAGGAGTATCGTACTAAACTGATACGCGTATCAAATGATGCAAATGGCGATGTAAACGCATGAAACACATTTAATACGCGTACCAATTCTTTCACGATGTAAACCAGGCCATTTTCTTAACTGTATAATACGCATGCGTAACATTTTTCACTTTTAACTAAGGGTGCAGTCACATGGAGTCAGAAATAACGGAACGGAACAGTAACGGAATATTGATAGAAAAGAGATAAAACAATCCTATCTCTTTTCTATCAATGTTCCGTTCTCATTCCGTTCCGTTATTTCTTTCTCCATCGGAACGCACCCTAAGTCGTCCGATGGTAAAAAATTTATATGCAAGGATATCATTTACTCATGAAAAGAGGACATATAACCATTCACTGACTGAAGACTCACGTGAAAAGTTTCACATTGCAAAAATTTACGATAGAGAAATATATTTGTCATACATAACTAAATCAACGTTAAGCAATATATCTTTTCAAATTAAACCACGCATTAATTAGTACATTACAAATCGTATACCATGCAAAATATAATAAATCTTTTTCATTTTTCACATAAACACTTTCACGTGAAATTCGTAAAGTGAAAAGTAAAAAATGAAAAAGTTTCATGATCGATACCCAGTAGTATTTTATTTCAGTGATTAATACACCATGTTCATATTTAATTTTCAAGATGTTCCTTATCGATCCCGAACTTTTTATTAATATTATCGTATTCAGATCAAAATCTATAAAAAAAAAATGCTATTCCTTTTACTTACACCTTTGTGGGCAAAAATCAATCTCTTTTTAACATTTTTTCGTAAGTAAATAAAATAATTTTTACAAAAACATTTTATTATTTAATGTGAAAATTTATTATGTTGTTATTAAATATTTAAATCAAAAGCAAAAGATCAAGTGACGGATTTAGTTAACAGATACAATGCGAAATAGATGTAATAAATCCAATAATTTGAATTACTTCGTAAAAAAACTATTAGTGGTCATTAAACTTTTAATTCCATAAGAATTATATTATAATTTAACTCTTCAGAGAAGATAATCCTGCTCTCATTATTTCATCAACCAGAAGGAGATTACTGGCGATTATCGTGCTAAAAGTTAAAAATGTTTATTCACATAAGTTATTATAATTTAATATATAAATACCAATTCAACACAGTATATGTGTTTTAATAATATCTTACCAAGAATTGATGATTTGTTTTTTTACATTATAATTGTCATAAACGCCAGCATCTGCGGGTTTTAAAGCTTCCCCTGTAGACAGATCCAATCCTACTGGTTCTTTTAAAGCAGAACTTTCCTCAAATAACTTAACGATTGTGTCTTGCGGATCAAATCCACTATTAACGGCTATGAAATCAAAAAGAAAATATCAATCATAATAAAAAACAATGTTGGATAATATTAATAAAAATAGAAATTCATAAATATCACGTTTACCAAGAGTTTTCGGAATGACGAGTAAAGCCTCGGCGTAGGCCTGTACTCCCAAACGTTGCTTTCCTTTCACTTGCTCCTTGTACTGTTGAAGAGCTTGACTAACTGCAACCTCAAAGGCTCCAGCTCCGGGAACAATCGCACGATCATTGATAGCGTTTTTTATTGCCCTAAGTCCGTCACGTACGGCATCTTTGAGTTGTTCCAATGTAAATTTATTAGGTCCCTAGAATATCAGTACATATTAGAGCATTTGCAAACATCATCACGAATATAATCATTTACGTTACCTTCAATAAAATAGTTACAGAATTTGGTTTTTTGCAATCTTCTATAAAAGTATATTTAGTTTCTCCCTGAAAAATCAATTAAAAATTATAGAAAAAGTATGTTCCCATTAGCTTTATATGATATAACCTATTATATTTTAAATAAGGTACAGATGTTTACCAAAACATGTTCATACACAAGACCGGCCCATCCCAGATGCTCTTCTTTCAGATCTTCCACAGAATTCATAGCTATGCCACCACATGCGAGTGCTAGACGTTCCATGTTTCTACGCTTGGCTCTGCGTAAAGCCATAATATTCTCTTTCGCGAGCATATCAAGAGATGATGGATCGATTCCTTTTTGATTTATCACGACAAATGATTTATCCGTTCCATCACACAACTTCTTCTTCAATTCGATAATCTTTTTCACACGATTATCGATGAACACGCGTTCAGCAGCCACTAATTTTTCGCGTTCTTCTGCCGATTTGTAAAAGAATCCACTATTTACCTATAAAATCAAAAAATCCATAGAATTATATCTTTAATTATTAATTGCATTATATTAATTAAATTCTTTATGTTATTTTGTATTAGTTTTATGTACCTCACTTTTCTCATATTCCAGGCTTACATTACAGGTCAAAATATATGCATTCTCTAGTCTTTTCGGCATATCTGGATGTCTGGATCCATGATCAGTAACTATGCCACGAATCAGAGTAGTATCATCCGCTGTTCTATGTTGCATTTCCATCAATTCAATCATGTGCAAATCGATTTCTTTGTCCTGCTGCTTAATAGCTAGTACAGCATCCACGCAGATCTCAGTTAATTTATCAGCCACTGTATGGTGAACTTTTGTTCTAAGTGAAGTTCTCACAATATCTAATAAGCTCTGCTTATTACACTCAATTGCAATTTTCATTGAGTCTAAGATTTCTAATGCCTTAGCACGAGCTAAGTCAAAACCATCTGTGAGCATTCTGGGATGCAGTCCTTCTGCTATATATAAATCAGCTTGTTTCAGAAGTTCACCAATGACCAGTACAGTACTGGTTGTACCATCGCCAGTCATATCATCCTGAGCGGTAGATGCTCTTGCTATCAGAGATGCCGTAGGGTGTTGAATTTGCATTTCATGAAGAAGCACATTACCATCCTTAGTGATTTTTATATCTCCAGCTCCAGAAACCAGCCTGGAAATTTACATGATTTAAAATTAACATGCTACTTACTGTAAACAATGAGACTAGATTTTTAATTAAAATTATGTCAATCAATTAGTATATTCTTTATACGAAACTTGTAAATTACATTGAGGACAAAAGAAAATAAAAGAAAACACAAATGGTTGATATATCACAAATTAAGAAAAAAATTACATCGAGAAGCGACATTTCTGAAACGTCAACGCCGTCTTCTCACTGGCAATTCGTGTAAGTCATTTCCTAATAAGGAGTGTAATGCGATGTCGAGATATTGCGACGTTTTACGAATTCCTAACGGCTGAAAATCATTTGTTGCAACGCATTCGGAGTCAAAAAAATTTCAAGATATACACGAAGAATTAAAATAAGCGGTCGTAACAACGATGCGACAAAATTATCAAATTATCCCTGTGAACGTGGATACATACATTTTCATGGTTCCTTTGGGCCCCAAATTGGTCCTCATCACATCCTGAATACCCTTCGCGGCGGAAATGTTCACCGCCAAAGCCTGCGCCGCCCGGGCAAATTCGGCCTTCGGATTCAATAAACTAATCGCTGCCATTCTCGCGAACTATTCTCGTTTTCTTGTATCTTCGGGTGTCACGCTTCCGCAGCCACACAATCAGCACACTTTCGACCTACAGTTTTAATCTGATAAAATGGCCTCGACCACGAACTGAGTCGATACCATGGTGGAAGGGTAACATGGTGTACTTAGAGTCCTAGATATCAGAGAAGCGCAACCGATGTTCTGCGTCCTGATTAGCTGACTGTCAGCCAATCATGACATTCATTCAGTGGTATTAAAAATGGCTGACTAATAGACGATTGGTGGATTTCAAGCGGGGAGCACAGACTTTTGCATAACGCATAAAGCATGTGCATAAGGAATTTCATTGGTCCATTTTCTTATGCATGAGTCAATGGACCAATCAAATTCTTTATGTATATGGTTTATGCGTTATGCAAAAGTCTGTGCTCCCCGCTTCATATTTTGTCCGCAAACGACGCCATTTTTAATACTTTCCTTAGTAATTTTGCGATACTGTCTTAAGCCGATTGTGCTTCTCTGATATCTAGGACTCTAGGTGTGCTTAGAGTTCTAGATATCAGAGAAGCGCAACCGGCTTAAGTCAGTATCGCAAAATTACTAAGAAAAGTAATAAAAATGGCGTCGTTTGCAGACGAAATATGAAATCCACCAATCGTCTATTAGTCAGCCATTTTTAATACCAATGAATGAATGTCGTGATTGGCTGACAGTCAGCTAATCAGGACGCGGAACATCGGTTGCGCTTCTCTGATATCTAGGACTCTAGGTGTGCTCAGTTTGCGAGCGTCTCTCTCTAATTCTTTGCCCTCTCGCTTCTTTCCCGACAAGTCGGCATGCAATGCTGCCAACCTAAAGACAAAGATGGTTGTCTTTGTTGCACGCACGCATTTAACCTCTATCGGTTTCTTTTTATCTTGACTTATCAACGCTAGTGATCCTCTAATAAAGGTTGATTTATACTGGCCGTAAACTGTTAACTTATGCCGTAATCTGTAAAAATTGACCAATCACAGTCGAATGAGAGGGGAATAATCGATTATAATTGGTCAATTTTTACAGATTACAGCATAAGTTAACAGATTACGGCCAGTATAAT